AATCGAAGCGTATCTGTTCCCGAAAACGTTCGTTCCCCTCGTTTGTCTTCGCAATTCATCGAACGAAGACATCATAACGAGAAACGAGTTCGGGGTGATTGATGAATCCTCGAAGAGCGATTCGAGCTAAAAGCATACCGGAGCACAAAGATCCGCGGGGCAGCAATTTTGAAGTGTAATCGTAATTCAGGATACCTGCTTCCGAATATCGAGGTCGAAATACAGACGGATACGTCTGTCTATCTGTTTGTGGATGGTCGAGGAAGGGATAACCGTAATCCGAGGCCACGAATTGACGACGTGTATGATCGATGTAAACGCTGACATGTAAACAGACATGGCCAGTTGAAGCGATCGATCCCTTATTCCATCAGCGTGTCAAAATCCCTTCGCGTTATTATTTAATTCAAAGTAATAACCGCCTATGCCAGAATCCCTTTGTACACAAATCATTACATTATCGTATGGCTATGCGAACACTATCAACATTATTGCCACGGTATTTGGTGCAAGCTTACAAATTATTTAACCTTTGCAAAATCAATGTTTTCTGCTGTTAAAGAAACTCTTGAAATTGGCAATATAATAAAAGCTTTTTCTAAAGAAAACTTGGTGCTTGAAACTGGGCAAGTTATGATACTATGTATTAACATGTTTCAATAAAATATTTAGTCGTACAGCATATGGCAATATAACACGTGACAGTAGCACATGTGTTGTGAAACAACGTGTGGCGATATAGCACGCAATAAGTCAATGCATCAAGTTGTAATGCTTAGCCGTACTACGAGTGGTGATACAAAGCGTAGTAAGTAGATGCGTGGAATTGCAACGCGTGGCGATATAATGCGAAGTAAGCCAACGCGTAGCGATATAACGCGAAGTAAGTCAACGCGTGAAATTTTAATATTTGGTGATATAACACGTGGCGATACAACGCGTAGTAAATCGATGCGTGGAATTGCAACGCGTGGCGATATAACGCGAAATAAGTCGATGCGTGGAATTTCAACGCGTGGTGATATAATGCGTGGCGATATAACGCGAAATAAGTCGATGCGTGGAATTGCAACGCGTGGTGATATAATGCGTGGCGATATAACGCGAAATAAGTCGATGCGTGGAATTTCAACGCATGGTGATATAACGCGTGGAATTTCAACGCGTGGAATTTCAACACGTGGTGATATAACGCGTGGAATTTCAACGCGTGGTGATATAACGCGTGGCGATATAACGCGAAATAAGTCAACGCATGGAATTTCAACGCGCGGTGATATAACGCGTGTAATTTCAACGCGTGGTGACATAACGCGTGGCGATGTAACGCGTGGTGACATAACGCGTGGCGATGTAACGCGAAATAAGTCAACGCATGGTGATATAACGCGTGGAATTTCAACGCGTGGTGATATAACGCGTGGTGATATAACGCGTGGAATTTCAACGCGTGGTGATATAACGCGTGTAAGTCGAAGCATGGAACAGCAACGCGTGGCGATATAACGCGAGGCAATATAACACGTAGAAGCTCAACGAAACAAAAAGCAACGAACGAATTTCTAGATGCAACATCAGCGACATCGAAACTTGGTTAATTTCGCGACAAAATTAATCGTCCAAGAGTTAATTGAACCGTGGCCGAATTCGTAGCAGAGTTTGAATCGGGTAACGTTGCAGCCCGGAAGTGTGTAACTGCGTTCGCAATCGATCGCGAGTTAACTGAATGTTTAACGAGTTCTCGTTGGAGCGGTGGCTGTTTTGTAACCGGCATTGTATTCTCGATTCGCAGACGAAAAAAAAGGAAAAGAGACGGACGGATAACTTTCGTCCGGATTCAAGATGAAATCGGACGTGCGGATAATTAAATCGCAAACAAAACGATGGAACACCCTGGAAAACGAGGAAATAATAACGGAACAGGAAGAGTACAGCCCTTGTACGATCGACGGTTTTATTATCTTCGATTATTTCGAGAACAAAAACGAAATCGTATCGTGTCATCGACTCGTTTATAACCCCCGTCTGTTCCTCTTTTTCTTCGATTCCCCTCGTCTTTTTTTATAAATTCTTAACACGCGACACTCGATCAAACGTGAAACCTCACATATTTCTAACCGTGACGTGACGCACAGAAACACTTCTACACCCTCCGCAATAAATCACATGGTATACGGACCAATAAATTGCACGAGTCTCGGTTCTTAAACGTTGCAAAAAATAATCCAACGCTCTCTTACAACGCATTGAAAATTTCCGTTCTGTTCGAATCAGATCAGACACAGTTAACTATAACGCTGTGGCAATATAGCATGTAGCAGTCGACGTTGAGCTTTCTACTTGCTAACTGACATTCCAGTATTCTTATAATCCTTTAATGAACAAAATTTACCTATAAAATTCTAGCTAGATTATTCACAATATGGATCAAGAAACGGGAAAGATGATCTCCTCACGATTCGACGCGAAATGATTAAGAACGATAAGGGACGGTTATTTGCTCGCGCGACATGCACAACTAGTATGACACGAACGTTGAATTATTCAACACGAAGTGAGGCGAGGAAAATGTTTTGATTATGCCGAGAAGGCGCGTGCATAGATTCTTGTCGGTGAAATTAGTTGGATATCCAAATAATTAACGGAAATAACTTCAGAGAAACTGTGATGTACAAATTCGTTGACGAAAATATTCTCAAGTTTGCACCAAAAGAAATTGATCAAAATAATTAATTCGAATCGATATTTTTATCTTGCTCCAAATAAAACGTACGTTCATTAAAGTAATGAGTATCGCAATAAATAATCGAATAGCCGTTTCAATATTCGAATATTATTCCGTTACTCACGGTCGACGAATCGTCCTCGTGCACGCGAAAACAAACGGTAACCGCTCAGCCGTGTTTACACGCGTTGACAATATTCTAAATCAGCCGGGCCTAATTGCGAATCCCGTGGCGATGCCATTTAAATTAGATTCGCTCTTGGTTTTAGTAGTTCAACGGGAACGAAACATGGCCGTGCAGTGAGAAATGGTGACTCGAAAATGGTCCAAGTTAGTCGCGGAATACGTTGCAATTAGTATCGATGAATCGACCGTTATCGTTGCGAAATTTATACTCGTTTTCTTGCTACTCGAACGTATCTATTGAGCTGACTCTTGTAAGATTAGATGTATTATTTTTTAAATGTTCAATGTATCTCTGTGCTTTATTATTTAATATTAGTTTGCAGCAATATTATTTTTCAAGCAGCAAGGATACGGTATTAAAATGTGCACGTAATTATCCTCTATATATAATAGATTTAACACATATAGGCATATAAAGGTTCGTGTCGATTGCGATCTTAATAACATGCATACGACGTAAATTCTATGATGATAATAATTTACTTTATAAATATTGAATATATTATTATACTAATTAGCATAGTTCATGAAAAATAAGTGGTCACCCAACGGGGATTTGAACCCGCCCCCTCCAGGTGGTAAGCCGGCACCCTATTCATTACGCCAACACCGATAGTCGTTACTTATGCGACTCTTTTAACGTGACATTCCAAATTCCTCTATTATCTATATTTTACTATAGAACCCGGATAATCGACGGTATGGTAATCGGTGAAGATCGATTAAAAAATAAAAAAAGCGCCAATAACGAAGCACCCGATCATAGCGACCAGGTGACACCGTGTAACGCGTGCTCTACGCGTGCTCTACGCTCCGTGTTTATCGACCGTGGCACAAACTCTCCCAAAAAGACGCGGGGTGTGGTCAGAAATTTTCCTTCTTCCCGTGTGCACGGGTCGGGGCCAAAGAGATTCCTCGGCTACGAGTCGAGGTCAGCCGAGGTCACGGGTGACACGAGACACCCGTACCCTCAAGACACCTATAGAACCATCGTGACTCCTAACCTAGAAGGGTAGACCGCGTGACATTTCCAGTCGTTTTCCGGTCGTCAGCCTACGTTCGAACACACGACGAGCGATAAAACCGTGAACGATTTTGGGGTAGTTCGCAGAAGCGGAATCACGATAATGATAAGAATCGATCGTAACGTTTATCGTATCGAGAAGAGACGGGACGAGAGGAAAGAAAACAATGCGCGAGATCTGGTGACTTTTAGGGACAACGTCGCGCAAGGCTGCAACCACCTGCCGTCGGTGAAACGGGAACGAGAGAACGATAAAAAGGAAGGCGAGCACGCGATCGCCGGCGAAAGAGATAAAGAAGACGGGCAGGAAGGAGAGAAAACACACGGGAGCGCGAGAAAGAGGTCGTAGGAGGGGGATGAAGGTAAAAAGCGGCGCGACGACATCGTATTGATTCGGTGACAGATCCGTGTACGATGCGGATGCTTCGTTTTCGAGACGGTGAGAGACCACCACGACGACACGGCCACAAGGCACGATAGCAAGCGCCCTGACGCTTTATATATAGAGGCTGAGCCACGAGCAGACAGGCCGTGCCGCTTAAATATAGACGAAATGCAACGGGGTGTCTCCGTCGAGTGAACGAGGAACACGGACGGCGCACGAACGGGACGAGAAAAGAGAACGATAAACGAGAAGTGGGGACACAGCGGAGAAGAGGCTCCGCATACGTAGAGAATAATCATGGCCGACGCGACACGGCGCGGCGTCGTCTGCTAGGAATCACGCTAAACAGATCGTCACTCGCGTGTCCATCTATGACACGACCGGTCAAGACACACCAGTTAATCGTCGACACTGGATGCACCTCGACGTACGAAACGCGAGTTCGCATGTAACGCATGTCGACGATGCACACAATGGAGATGATACGAACGAACGAACGAATGAGAGACAGAGAGGGAGGACGTACGTGTATACGCGGAGGTAGAGAGAAACGAAAGAAACGTCACGACACGCGGAAACGTTAACCCGATCTCTTTCTCTCTCTCTCTTTCTGTCTTCGCGTTCGCTGATCGTTCGTTTTTCTTTCGACGAACAAACAGTCGAAAAGGTTTTTTACTTACTTGCCCAGTTCCTCCTTGAGGTCGTAGTTGTCACTGAACCACGTGCAAGCGGTCGTAGTAGCCATGCCGAGGTATCGCGATTATTTACCGCACTAACCGAGGAACGTAAGCGCGAGAGCCACTGCCGGCCGCCACTACCGCACACGCTAGGGGAAACTTCGCAGGTCAAATTCGATCAATAGAGGGGAACCGCCGCGGCGCTGGTAGAACACCGGGTAACCGTCGGGAGGGAGGGTCGTCGGGCCGGGCAGAGGGGAGGTGGTTCTGTCCGCGGGAGCCGTGCGTTACCGTGGCACCGACGGTGGGGCAAATCGCGGTCGTGCCAGCAAATATTTGCGGGCAACGGCAATCGGATCCTTTCACGACGCGTCCGCACTGCTCGCCGGCAGACCGTCGACTGACTCGCGTAGTGGTGGTGGCTCGCGACTGCGCACCGATCCCGTTTCGCTACGCCGCTACCGCCGCCAATGGCGACCGCGACGCGATCTTACACAGAGTGGTACGTTACTGTTAACCCCCTTAATGCTTCTACGCTTTTCAAATTTACCCTCTATAGATGCACAAGTTCTTTACATAAATTCATATTCCGTACATATTGCAACATCTTCTTCGCGTTTGTACTTGGGCACGAAGTTTTCAAACATAAACGAAATATGGAACATACAGATACCACTCTGCTGGGGCCGCTTTTACCACTAAAAGTGAAATAGTCACGTGACTAGGGCCCGCTATGACGATTCAGGGGAAGACACCCCACTGCCATTAGGTTTGGTTTAAATTTTTGAATTGACAAACTTTATAGTTCAAAAATGGGGAAATTGGAAATATCGGGGTTGATTTTGAGTTTTTGGAAACTCGAGGATTTAGAAAATTATAAGGTTTAGAATTTGAGAGTTATTAAAGTTGAAAATGACAAATCCACATTTAGTCCTCCAAAATCGAAGGCGAATGATAAAAGGTCCCTCCCCCCGTTCTTAATCAAGGGAAGCCTACGTTGCACCCGGCTGTACGAACGCGTTTTAATTTCTCGGAGATCTATGCTCCGTGTACCGTTCTAATTGGACGTGCGCCAAAAAGCCGATCGAAGTGATACCAAAGCTTCGTTCGGACGGCGTATGCGCCAGTAGTAAATCTCGTGTTTATGTCGGACATGCGGAATCGAGTCAGTGCGCGGTATCCCGTCTAACCAGCGACGGTTCGCATCTCCTTACGCTCGCCGAGAGCCTATGCGAACGGTTACCATTCGATATTTCCAAACATATTACCCTTTCGTATACAGAATTTTTTTCATGTATCGAGCAAGAATCTAATATAATTATGCTTCGGGGGAAAAAAATATCGAATGGAGAAAGGAAATTGTATCATGAAGCGTGATCCTGAAAAGCTATCCGCGTGATCAAGCATACTTCCAGGTGCTAAATTTAAATATGTTGCCTCGATCCCCTCGGGTTATTTCGCATAGGTTGGCTGCGCTTGAACGGGTCTGTAGAGGAGCTGTATCGTCAGCACTGCCGTCAGTAGTATCGCTGTTGACCGTCGCGGCGTCGGGCAGAGGGGAGGTGGTTCTGTCCGCGGGAGCCGTGCGTTACCGTGGCACCGACGGTGGGGCAAATCGCGGTCGTGCCAGCAAATATTTGCGGGCAACGGCAATCGGATCCTTTCACGACGCGTCCGCACTGCTCGCCGGCAGACCGTCGACTGACTCGCGTAGTGGTGGTGGCTCGCGACTGCGCACCGATCCCGTTTCGCTACGCCGCTACCGCCGCCAATGGCGACCGCGACGCGATCTTACACAGAGTGGTACGTTACTGTTAACCCCCTTAATGCTTCTACGCTTTTCAAATTTACCCTCTATAGATGCACAAGTTCTTTACATAAATTCATATTCCGTACATATTGCAACATCTTCTTCGCGTTTGTACTTGGGCACGAAGTTTTCAAACATAAACGAAATATGGAACATACAGATACCACTCTGCTGGGGCCGCTTTTACCACTAAAAGTGAAATAGTCACGTGACTAGGGCCCGCTATGACGATTCAGGGGAAGACACCCCACTGCCATTAGGTTTGGTTTAAATTTTTGAATTGACAAACTTTATAGTTCAAAAATGGGGAAATTGGAAATATCGGGGTTGATTTTGAGTTTTTGGAAACTCGAGGATTTAGAAAATTATAAGGTTTAGAATTTGAGAGTTATTAAAGTTGAAAATGACAAATCCACATTTAGTCCTCCAAAATCGAAGGCGAATGATAAAAGGTCCCTCCCCCCGTTCTTAATCAAGGGAAGCCTACGTTGCACCCGGCTGTACGAACGCGTTTTAATTTCTCGGAGATCTATGCTCCGTGTACCGTTCTAATTGGACGTGCGCCAAAAAGCCGATCGAAGTGATACCAAAGCTTCGTTCGGACGGCGTATGCGCCAGTAGTAAATCTCGTGTTTATGTCGGACATGCGGAATCGAGTCAGTGCGCGGTATCCCGTCTAACCAGCGACGGTTCGCATCTCCTTACGCTCGCCGAGAGCCTATGCGAACGGTTACCATTCGATATTTCCAAACATATTACCCTTTCGTATACAGAATTTTTTTCATGTATCGAGCAAGAATCTAATATAATTATGCTTCGGGGGAAAAAAATATCGAATGGAGAAAGGAAATTGTATCATGAAGCGTGATCCTGAAAAGCTATCCGCGTGATCAAGCATACTTCCAGGTGCTAAATTTAAATATGTTGCCTCGATCCCCTCGGGTTATTTCGCATAGGTTGGCTGCGCTTGAACGGGTCTGTAGAGGAGCTGTATCGTCAGCACTGCCGTCAGTAGTATCGCTGTTGACCGTCGCGGCGTACGATGCGTTGACGGACGTTGCGACGGACGTTGTAACGTCCATCATACATTATCCTGCACGGGATCAGTCACACGAGTTACATATATATTTTGATGCAAACATACATAAATACATAAGATCGATCCCAGCAACACGTGCCTCTACGGAGCGGCAAAATGAATACAAACAATTTGAAATTCAAATGTAATAAATCATAAAATAAATCATAATTATGTCATTTATTCCTTCCTTCTTAAAACCCGGTATTAGCATATCGTCAGTTGAATTTTAGCATAGTATGAAAACTGGGGTATGGGAAAATTGCATTGCAAAATTTTGTTTAACAATTTATTTTCCGTACATTTACATTCCAATTACAGTTGGTTTTAAAAGAAAATTCTTTTCTTAAATTCAATTATAATATAAATACATGCGTCCTGCCCTGGGGAGAACGCATGGTTAATAACTTAATGGCGAATAATATGCGTATTCACTTTGAATAATTATACATTCTAACAGTTTATTTGTATCGCTACCGGATATTTCGTTGAAAATAGTATAGTTGACTTTACGGGTTCCAACACCTTGATTAATCTGTAGAAAAGTTTCCGTTTATTTCTGCGTCACGAACAGGGAAAGGTGAACGCAATATTGTACGAATCTAGAAATTGAATGCAGCTTGTACAATTTGTTACTGTAGAAACAGGACCGAATTAAAATCGTTATGAATTTGGCGCCCTATTTAATTCAAATCGTAAAGTGAAATATTTTTCGAAACGGGATTTTGGAGATTTTAGGATTATTTTAATTCAGCCCTACAGAATGTACACCGTCGATAACAAAATTCGCTTAACGTGTAAATATACCGTTCCGTAGAAAAATGAAAGGGAAAGTATCAAATTTCACTTTGTTCCTCTAAAATACTGTACAAAATACGAATTTTTGAATGCACGACGCACGAGCCATTACACACCAGAACGAACATCACGGCTATTACCACATCTGTGAATTATTGTTTCTGCCCATTACCTAATTCTCGGTGTCCATTGTGGCTACGCGTTCATCTCAATTGAAATTTATGACACACACGTATACAGGATGTTTCGCTCAACCCTGTTACTCTTAATTATTTTGTTACCTGCAAACATACCAGCATAATCTAATTTGTCTCGCAAACATCTTTTTCTGTATTCACAGATAATAAAATAATTAAACATCGGGTTAGAGGAATCATCCTCTATACTCTCACATCCACACGCATACGTACACTTTTCAGAATGATACAACGCAATTTTGCAACCACAGTCTTATTTTCAACTCGATCAAGGAATAGAATCACGATTAGTCTATGATCTGAAAAGCGTCACGTGTTCTTTGCTCTTATCGCGTTGATATGGATACAAACAACCGTGTTAAATGCATTGGAATCATCATCTAGGAAACACGTTCGTGTATTCCCATGATAAAGGAACGTTTTCGTTGATTTTTAACGGGATCGTCCTGCGTCATTCGATCAAATTAAGAAGGCCGAGTACGATGGTCCAAGTTGTTCTACATCCCTAATACACACGTACGGATATAAGAATTATCTGTTTCTATACTCACTGGCGTAACTAGAATTTCTAAGGGTCATCTTCATTAAAAATATTGAGTATCCAATGTTTCTTAATTCTAACATAGTTGTCATAAATTTTGAGTAATAAAAACATTACTGTGTTTTATGTTTTGGCCCAAATATTTAAACAAGTTAAGTTTACAATAACATTAGCTACGCCAATGATTCGTATTCCAAACGAATACAAATCTAGAATTACTAAGCACACAGAATTATGTTAAACGAATCACATTCCTCTAAAAATTTCTCTGGGACCTTGTTCTTATCATCCGTTAAATGAACATTTTGACAGAGACGATCTTTAATCATTTCCGAACAACTACCGTGTTCTGAAACAAACTCCCGATACTTCCAGCAAACCTTTACTCGACCGTAACCGACTTCGCCAGGTTTCTAGGACAATCTACGTTGCAGCCGCGGAGTACGGCGATATGGAAAGATAACAGTTGCATTGGAATGACCGTGAGAATTCCTTGAAGACAATCGACAGTTCTAGGCACTTCGAGAACTCTGTCTGCAAACATTTTTGTCTCCTCGTCTCCTTCCTCGCATATGACAATAGGTTTACCGTCGCGTGCCGTTACTTGCTGCAGAGCGTTCATGCATTTCTGAAAAGAACAATCGAATTTAATTTGTAGGCACATTTATACCTTCGTTCCTTCACGAAGAATATTTACCACGTAAACTGGGTCCCTCATGACGATCATTATCACGGGCATGGAATCGTCAACGAGTGCCAAGGGGCCGTGTTTCAATTCACCAGCCATGATACCCTCGCTGTGCATATATGTCAATTCTTTGACTTTCTGCGAAGAGATACATTCTTTAATAATTTTTGTGACGTTGTTTAGGGACTGTATGGTTCAAGGTTGATGTCACATATTACTGAAAAATTAAGAAAGAGATAAATAATCGTAGTGCGTACCAATGCTCCCTCCATACAGGTGGCAAAATTGTATCCTCTACCCATGATGAGTAGAGACTTGTGCTGAAACAGAGACTTGGCAAGCTCTTTTACTTTGTCATCAAGTTGCAAAACTTGACGGATTAGGTTATCCAAATTCTTCAATCCTTCTATGATCTGCAACAAGAAGTTATATATCATTATTTTACTATGTTACTATGCTATATTATTTTACTATGTTTCTTTAAGTGAATAGTTGATGCACGAACAGCATTTATATCGCAAACAAACATAATTTACAACAATATGTACCTGAAGGCGTCTCGCACCAAGAGAGATTCTGTCCTCGCTCATAACCAGGGCAAACATAACAAGCGAAATGAACTGCGAAGTGTAGGCCTTTGTGCTGGCCACACCTATTTCTGGTCCAGCATTGATATGAACACCACAGTGTGACTCACGACAGATGCTGCTACCGACCGTGTTGGTAATACCAACAATTAGAGCGCCGCGGCCTTTGCAATAACGCAGAGCCATCAGTGTATCCGCAGTCTCTCCTGCAAGAAAAGACAAGGTTAATAACATCGACTGTAATGTTTGCTATAGAAAATTGAATTAAAACTCTTACCAGACTGCGAGATGAAGAAACAGACATCGTCCCTGAACACCGGTGTGTTCCTATCTAAGAAATCAGAGGCCAATTCAACCATCACTGGCAGTTCAGTTAGTTCTTCTAAGAGCTGTCTGGTTGCGATTGCGGAATGGTAGCTCGTTCCACATCCGATCAACATCAGACGTCTGCACCTCTTGATCTCGGGAATGTAATCCTGTTTAAATGAGAGATATGAAGGTACCAAATATGAGGACTATTGGTTTGTGATTACTGTAGGTTTCAGGTAGTGTTTGTTGGGGAGATGTATGGAGTATGTGGACATTTGAGGAGGTGGAGAGGTGATTTGGGGAGAAAGGAATTTTGGGACGTGGAGATTTCGGGACTTGAGGACTTTGGGACGTGGGAGTTTTGAGACTTGAGGTTTTGGCAATGAGGAGATTTGGGGGTGTGGTAATTTGGGGACGTGGGAATTTCGGGGCGTGGGAATTTCGGGGCGTGGGAATTTCGGGACGTGGGAATTTCGGGACGTGGAAATTTCGGGATGTGAGAATTTTGGGACGTGTGAATTTCGGAGCGTGGGAATTTCGGGACGTGGGAATTTCGGAGCGTGGAAATTTCGGGATGTGAGAATTTTGGGACGTGCGTGGGAAATTCGAGACGTGAGAATTTCGGGTTGTGGGAATTTTGGGACGTGGGAATTTTGGAACGTGGGAATTTCGAAACATGGAAATTTCGGGGCGTCGGAAATTCGAGACGTGGGAATTTCGGAGCGTGGGAATTTCGGGACGTGGGAATTTCGGGACGTGGAAATTTCGGGATGTGAGAATTTTGGGACGTGTGAATTTCGGAGCGTGGGAATTTCGGGACGTGGGAATTTCGGAGCGTGGGAATTTCGGGACGTGGGAATTTTGGGACGTGAGAATTTCGGAACGTGGAAATTTCAGAGCGTGGGAATTTTGGGACGTGGGAATTTCGGAACGTGGAAATTTCGGGACGTGGGAATTTCGGAGCGTGGAAATTTCAGAGCGTGGGAATTTCGGAACGTGGAAATTTCAGAACGTGGGAATTTCGGAACGTGGGAATTTCGGAACGTGGGAATTTCAGATCGTAGGAGTTTCGGAACGTGGAGATGTTGGGACATGGAGATTCGGAGACTTGAGGATTTCAAATACCTAGAGATCTGCAGACATAGTGATTTGAGGAATGTCAGAATTTGGAAACGTGAAGTTTGGAAACTTAAGAAATCCACAACTTGAAACTTCAGCAATCTAACAACATAAAAGCTTGAAAATTACCGAACTCACCTTAATCCCTCCTAAAGTAACCGAATTATCTCGGAAGTTCAAACGACCCCTCATAGTGTTCACCACCGACTCGGGTTGTTCAAAGATTTCTTTTTGCATGAAATACTCATAGTTGCCTTTCATAATTTGCTGGATCTCCATCTTAAGAGTAGTGATCTCCCTAGCATGGGGATCATCCATGCATCGACGAAGTCGATGAATGCTGAGTGCACCCTCTTTCACTGCGGCAACGTCGTCATCCTAAAAAACATTTTGTGTTACTCTTCCATCAAATTTATTTGTCGAAGTACAAGTGAATAATTTACCTCGAGGAATATCACACGATTTGTGTGCTCGATGACGGCACTGGCGTCAGAAGCGAAGAAGTACTCCACTTCTTTGTCTTCAAGGGGTTGGAACTCGGACGTGCTTTCGCTACGCGGTATCACCGGAAGTTCTGCAGTGCGGCCATGTGGACGGTGATCTATTAAGAGGCAGAAATTAACTTTCCTACCCTTCTGACGGGTCAAAACATTTCACCTCGTTCAAATATATACACGTTGCAAATTATTGAATCCAATATTGTACAAGTTCATTCAAGCAAGTAGAACATTTTATATTCGCAAGGTACCTCGGTAATTCCGCCAAAATTAAACGTTATTGATTGCAATGTAATTTCAATACGATGAATTATCAAACTGTGGCGGTCTTTAATCGTCATGAGATTTTATAAATACTTATTTAGTTCATATAAAATTAGAAATCTAAAAATATATTGACATATGAACATCACAAGCTGAATGTAAATCAACTACAGTTCAGATGTACAACTCCTATATTTTTTTTAATAAATAAAACATATTTTGTTTAACAAATATAAATAAAATGTAAAGTACTATTTATACGAATCAAGTAGAATGATGTTCTCACTTACTATTGTACGGTTATATTTGATTAAGGATTTGAGTACAGTGATAGAAAATAACGAATCAAGTAACTGAATGGAAAAGAATTTTTTTCCAAAATTAACAAGTAAATTCTAACAAGTAATTTCCATTCAATTCCAAGACTAGTTATTTTCCCAGTTTCTTCAGTATCGTCGACACCAAAAAGACACGATACAATCAGAACAGGACTATTATTAACAGACAGATCGTTTTCCTTCGCATCGTATCGTGTTCTCATACTCGCAAGCCCCACACCAAATTAGGCGGATCGGATAATAATTAACAGCAACCTTGATCATTTTCCAATGTACCTGGTATTAGCGACATTAAGTGAAAAGAAGAAAATGAGGTGATTACATGTTAACGTGTATGCGGTCTCGTTAAACAGCCAATTGGCATTAAACGATGTCGAACCTCGTTAAAGATAAGCTTAACACCTGTCCATAATGAGGAAAACACCTATTTAAACAAGAAGATAGACGTAGAAATTATGGCTTGGAAATCCGGGCCGGGTGTACAGTAGTGCCTACATAATTACGACATTTAATTTATGAACTGAATTTACATATTTTGGAATTAAAAAATTTCAAACCTTAAAAATTTGGGATCATAAAAATTGAGAATATGAATTTTTAAATCTAGGAAATTTCAGATTGAGTTTAATAAAATGAGAAACTTGAAGCTTTTACAGCAATTTAATAAAATTTCAAGCTTAGCTATTTTTGCAAAATAAATTCGCAATGGAGGCACTATTGCAACCCGTTGATCGCCTGTCCATACTGAAAGAAAAACACGCGGAAGTTAAATACGTACTGAATAAAAAGCGTGACGATGCCATAAGGCGCACGACGCGTGTGAATCCTTTAGAATCCATGAGATAGCAGTTTGCCATTCGAACGAAGCAGATTTGTGCGGGTCTAGATTCACAACGGTGGAAAGCGTGGCTGTGGGATCATTTTGTGGCAAGCGAATCGGAAAAGAAACGTATATGAATGTAAAGTATTACCTTTAGTTGGCGCTTCACCTTCTGCTCAAATTTGGAGATGCGGAGGGGGAGACGAAAAAGAAAACAAAACAATTAGCAAACAAGTAACGCAGTGACTAATAGCGGTACAAAATATAATGAAAGAACAAAAACGTAGATCGCGGACTGTATCGTGTACGAAATCAAATTACCAGGTTTCTGTGAAAAGATATTCAGAGATATCTGAGAAAAGATATTTAAGATATTCAAGTATGAACGAAGTCTTTATATATTTTGATTTTCGAGGGTGCGGATGAACATCTTATCACAAAACCCTGCAATCACAAAGCTACGAATGCTTAAGCCGTCGAGGATTTCTGACTCGAGAAACTTTTACGCTCGAAAATTGCACACAGTAAAACTAGCTTTATGTACGATGTAATAAATAATTACGTGGTATTTCGAAGCAATTTCAAGTACAATATTAGAGTACAAATTTCGTATTATTTACATACCGAATGAGCAAGAGAAAGCCAACGGTTATTTTTAATTAGAAAAGAAGCGAGAAACTTACGAAAGACAGACAAGACACTTAGACATAAAATATTTTTGATTAACGAAAGTTGTCGCGAGGAAATTTTCTCTCAAGTATACGTAACAGGTGAAGCGAAATTAGTTTTGCATACATTTGAATGAACATTGAACCTTTCATAAGAATAGTGTATGTATTAAACTATAAATAAATATTATTGTATATAATGAATTTTATGATGATATAAATTTTTTAGTTGATGTATTGCATTTGTATGATATACTGTGGTACTAAATATAATGTAGTGTAGTGGAGTGTAGTGTGATATAGAATGGTGTAGTATGATGTACTGTAGGATGGGATAATATGGAGTACTGTAGCACAGTGTAGTATATTATTTGTATTGTAGGTTAGTACAGAGTAGTGTAACACAGTGTAGGTTAGTGTAAGATAGTGTGAAGTAATGTAGAATATTAGTGTAGTGTAGTGTAGGGTAGTGTAGAGTAGTGTAGAGTAGTGTAGAGTAGTGTAGAGTAGTGTAGAGTAGAGTAGAGTAGTGTAGTGTAGTGTAGTGTAGTGTAGTGTAGTGTAGTGTAGTGTAGTGTAATGTAGTGTAGTGCACCGTAATGTAGTGTAGTGCAGCGTAGTATAGTATTACAAACTAAAGTATAACGACGTACAATGTAACGTAGTATAATATAACGCAACACAGTGTAATATAGTATAACATAACATAATACATTATAATATATAATAGTATGAGCTAATGTAGCATAGTGTAAAATACTGTATCATAGTATAACAAATTACAGCATAGTATAACCTATATCAGACTACTGACAATGACAGTGTTGCATAGTGTATCGTAACGCAGATAATACAGTATAGTGTACAACATTGCATCATAGTACAACACAGTGTATCATAGTACATTACAGTGTAACATAGTGTAGACTACCATAAATATTCCATAACCGAATTACATCAAACATGAAAGGTTCAACGTCGAAAAAGAATAAGTGTAGTGTAGTGTAGAGAGTAGTGTATATACCTTTGTTTACGCATGGAGGTTCATCTGTTGAGAGACGAAAAGTTGGAGAACATAACCGGTAGGTGTTCATGCAAAAGAAACATCATATAGTATCCATCATAAAAAACATAATCACCGATGGAAATTTACATGCTACAATTTTCAACGTTTAAAGAAACAGATAAACCAATGTAAATTTAACAAGTTCGCTATGTTAAACACTATTAATATTAACATTATTTTCATTTATATCATTTGATACATCGGTCCACAACGAACGTATTAAATTAACAAATCTAACGACACCACGTCATAAAAAACAACATGCTACTCAAACTCAGCTACGTGCTCTGATTAATCATAAAATACTACTTGAAGAAATTCAACGTTAATTTGATCACAAGCGACTACGGGATAAATAATTTGTTAAACATTTGGTGTAAGATTTTCTGTTAACGTCGTTTACATTTGTTAATCGTAGCGTTATCGAGCCATTTCGCTCTGTTACATTTTATCGAACACGGTAAACGAGAACGTAACATGATAATGCGATGACACGACTTAGTGTGTTATTTCGAGGATAAAACGTGGATCCCTCTGCTAATACATGAGTTGTAAATTATAACAGGCACATGCTATTAATGTTTTCGCAGATTCCTTACGAATGAGACACATAGTTTATTCCCTTGAATGTTCACCAACTACCATAGCAATCCCTCCTTCCTTGCGCGGAGAAAAAGGGGATTATGTCCAGCAATTAGAAATGCCATCACACTTATTTAATGATGTTTTAACCCTTGTGTAGACAATCAGTAATATTCGATGAAATGTCTTCATCGTTTGTACACTTGTTACTTTTGAAAAATAAAATTTTGTGAATATTAAAGCCTGTGAATATCTCGGATTGTTTATACAAGGATTGAAAAGCTTTCGTATTTCGATGTAGGTACTGATACACCGTCAGTATTCATTTTTGGGAACCGTAGAGACCAGAAATAGCCTTGTGATCTTTCTCTGTTTAAGTCTATCGATTTATACACCCTTTCGCCGTAATTGCCTCTAATAGAATTCGTGCGAACAGCGGCCATGTTTCTCCGATGAACTTACCTTTTCCATACAGAATAGGCACGTGATCGGTGGCCAATCTTGTTTTCGTTTTAATACCCACTAAAAGGGGCGATCCTCTTCTCGTAGCTACGCACTCTCCTGGAAAGTACTTGCTTTTAAAGCACAGAGCAAAAGCGCCTTCCTGCAACATTAATATTCGTTGTATAATACGTTCATATGCAATCAAGTAATTAAGAAGAGAAAATCGTTGAATAAAACTCGATGGTATGATAAGTGTAATAACGATTACATATCATTACTAGTACTAGTTACTAGTGCAGCAGTCACTTTATTTGAACACTTACCAACTGTTGAACAACTTGCTCAACGAGTTCCCGAAACGAGTAACCAGGATGCTGGACCCACAAATGGTGAATAAGCTTCGCGATTACTTCAGTATCGGTTTCACTCTCGAAGATGTAACCCCTCTGCTGTAGCAATGTCTTCACTTCTTTATAGTTGGTTACAATACCTTTAGAACAATTGCAGTATTTTTAATCTTTTAACAGATAACAGATTTATAATCTTGTTAAGTACTTTGTAAAAATGAGGTACAAGTATAAATGTACAAGTGCGTTTTATCTAGAGGCGTATTTATAGATTATTTTCACGCTTATGGATATCTAGACTCTAGATTACTACATTCCAGATTTCTATTCTTTAATTATTATGATATTAGATTTGTATGTTAACAGATAACTGTGGTTCTAGCTCTTTATATTTTCAGATATTTATATTCTTGAGTTATTGTGCTGATAGATCTGTATTATTCTAAGGTACCTATGTTCCTGGATCTCTATATTCTGAGATATCTGTGTGTCTATGTCTCTATGTTCCTAGATTCTTAAGTTATCGAATTCCTATATTCTCACACTCTTATATCTGGAAGATCCTGTGTTCCTAGATCTCTACGTTGTGGGATACCTACCTGTCTATATCTCTATATCCCTAGATTCTTATGTTCCTGAATTTCCATGCTCGCACACTCCTACATCCCTGAGTTTCTATGTTCCTAGGTCTCTACATTCTCAGATCCCTATATCTCTTGACTCTTAAGTCCCCAAATTCCTATGTTCTCACACTTCTACATCCCCAAGTTCCTACATTCCTAGATCCCTATATCATCTTCCCTATATCATCCCTGTATCATATCTTCCTACATCTCCACATCCTAACACCCTCACATCCTCCAACACATATGTACACCCCCACCCATTACAATCCTCCTATCCTCTCAATTTAATAATTCAAACAAAGTGTACTCATATAAAGCTACATAAGTTACCATTATGCACAACCACAAAAGCATGCTCGCTGTCAGACCTCTGCGGATGCGAATTCACTTCGGAAGGAACACCATGCGTTGCCCAACGCGTGTGAGCGATCCCCACATGACTGTACGTCTTCGACTCGAAGTCGATATTGGTACCTATAAAAATTTAAATGAGTACTTTTATTTTTTACGGCAATTCGCTAAATACCACTCACGATAAAATATCTCCTCTTCGAGAGCCTTGACCTTCCCCTGTTTTTTAATAATCGAGATATCCTTGCCGTCGACGCTGTCAAGGGCGACACCTAAAACAAAACGAGCATCAGTGACGCTGTTCCTTTCATCGAATCAATTTTACGTGTTCACTTTCTATTCCCAGAATGAGTCTTATAGATTCTGGGTCCTCTTTCGTAAACGGATTTCGTAAAAGACATCTTTCACCGCGTTCTTACCGGCTGAATCGTAGCCTCTGTATTCCAGGCGCTTCAATCCGCCGACCAACAGCTCCAGAATTTCTTTCCTGCTCTTCGGAGTCAGGTAATTTAGGTATGCGAAGATTCCTGCGGGATGAAACAAATTATGATTATCGTAAAAGACATTGTAGTAAACTGCGGAAATATTTTATAAACGAGAGTGCTACTTTTAATCGTTTTAATTGAAGGGTTTCTCTTCTGCAGAAATATGTCTTGTCGATTTGCATACACGTTTCACATAAATTAAGCTTTTATTAATCGCCCGATTTATACCTGAATTTTGAGTACCTTTTGTTCGAAACTCGCGTTTATGGAGTAATTTGATTTCGATCACCCAAACCGAGATTAATGAACCGACTGATTTATCCAACAAACGCGCAACAATTTCATCAGACCATTAATCACCCTTTCCAACTCCCCCTACCAGGGAAAGAGAAAACGAGACCTTCGATACAGTAGCGCACACGTTGATTTTTTCATTCCACATTTCCTTTCCTTCCCTCGTTGAAAGGTCGTGGCGAAGAAAGAACGCGGAAAGAGTCGATTTATTGACTCGAGTAGCTACATAGTTAATTGCATCAGACGTCTAGGTTAATAATGATGTGAACCTTCAATGACTAACTTACGTTTATGTTAAGTACATAATTTCTTAAAGTACTCTCAAGGTCATCGCCAAATAAATTTAACTACGTTCATTAAAAAAAACTTGATACAGTAACATTTACAGTTGTAAATGTCCTAAATTCGATGTAGCTCACGTGTTTCTTTATTCTTCTATTTAAGGAGGCTTGATGCACTGTGACATTTAGCGTTGTCTGTCGAATAATGAATACCTTCATATCAACCCAGCCTACATGTGTTCCTATTGTTTTAATTGAGAAAAGTATTGTGGACAGTGGCATAGGAGATTGTCTTTCGAATAACAAATATCGCACAATCAATGCAGCTTATCTAACATTTTCTCTCATAGAAAAAATCCTAAATCTCAACATGGCCAAATTTCTACGTTCCCAAATCCTTATATCACCAAATGTCTAAATTCCCAAATTCCTACATTTCAAAATTTCTACGTTCCCAAATCTCTAAATTCCCAAATTTCTACGTTCCCAAATTCCTACATTTCCAAATTTCTACATTTCCAAATTTCTACGTTTCCAAATTTCTACGTTCCCAAATTCCTACATTTCAAAATTTCTACGTTCCCATATCTCTAAATTCCTAAATTTCTACATTTCCAAATTCCTACATTTCCAAATTTCTACATTTCCAAATTTCTACGTTCCCAAATTCCTACATTTCCAAATTTCTACGTTCCCATATCTCCAAATTCCCAAATTTCTACGTTCCCAAATTCCTACATTTCCAAATTTCTACATTTCCAAATTTCTACGTTCCCAAATTCCTACATTTCCAAATTTCTACATCCCCAAATTTCTACATCCCCAAATCTCTAAATTCCCAAATTCTTACATTTCCAAATTTCTACATCCCCAAATCTCTAAATTCCCAAATTCCTACATTTCCAAATTTCTACATTCCCAAATCCTTACATCCCCAAATCTCTAAATTCCCAAATTTCTACATTCCCAAATCCTTACATCCCCAAATCCTTTCATCCCCAAATCTCTAAATTCCCAAATTCCTACATGCCCAAATCCCTACCTCCCAAAGTCCCAACTCCCAAAAATCAGACCTTCCCAAATTTCCCAACCCGCAATTCTCCAACATTAAAATCCCCACCGTTCACCCGACCAAATATCTAATTTCCCAACAACTCCATAACAAAAATTCGTCGAAAAAAAGGTAAGAAAATGTTTGCAACCGCAGCAATCGTCGTGACATTAACTAAATCACGCTTCACCGTCACGCGAAAGCGAACCTTGAGGTGATCGGGTTAAAAACCGTTTCTAAGTCGATCGCCTCGCTTAGAACTCGATACTCTTAAATTCTCGCGGCAAGAAAGACACCGTAGCCGATAGAATTCCATATCGAATGATCGAATCACGGTACAGATTGCGTTCGGCAACGAGACAGCCACGTAATAAGGTAACGTTATATTGTAGCATACGATGCTCTTAACCCGCGACCACGGTCACCGTACTTGCAAAATCGATGTTCCTTTCGAACAAACATACGAAAGCAACATTCCAAGAACGATCTTCTGGGAGAACAAAACACAGAGAATATTCTAACTAGAATTTTGTTTATTCTCACGTACGCAAGCTTTCCCTTTCACCTGTGACTCTGTGTGGGGAATTACCTGGCGCGCACTTTACGGACGCGTGTGCGTGCGTGTCCGTGTGGGTTCGTTCACGGGCGACGACTTTTTGCATTTTTGCAATGCCATGCAGGACCTCGAACACCTATCGATACGAATACCTCGTGTTCAGAAAACGAGCGGAATTTCGAACCGTGTTCGAGTGGAAAGTTACAATAGACGTGTTAGAATTAACTTACTTTAAATAAAGGGACGGAGACACTACAGCTGCATTCATTTTAGGCTACTTGGTATTTTACACACGAGTAGGGATTTTGGAATGTAGGGATATTGGGATCTGGGGATTTGGAGATCTAGGGATTTTGGGATCCAGGGATTTTGGGATCCGGGGATTTTGGGATTCGGGGATTTTGGGATCTGGGGATATTGGGATCCGGGGATTTTGGGATCTGGAAATTTTGGGATCTGGGGATCTAGGAATATTGGGAGCTAGGGATATTGGGATCTGGGGATATTGGGATCTAGGGATATTGGGATCTAGGGGTATCGGGAGCTAGGGGTATCGGGATCTGGGGATATCGGGATATAGGGATATCGGGATATAGGGATATCGGGATATAGGGATATCGGGATATAGGGATATCGGGATATAGGGATATCGGGATATAGGGATATCGGGATATAGGGATATCGGGATATAGGGATATCGGGATATAGGGATATCGGGATATAGGGATATCGGGATATAGGGATATCGGGATATAGGGATATCGGGATATAGGGATATCGGGATATAGGGATATCGGGATATAGGGATATCGGGATATAGGGATATCGGGATATAGGGATATCGGGATATAGGGATATCGGGATATAGGGATATCGGGATATAGGGATATCGGGATATAGGGATATCGGGATATAGGGATATCGGGATATAGGGATATCGGGATATAGGGATATCGGGATCTAGGGATATTGGCATTTAGAGAAGTTGGAATCTAGGGAAGTTGGAATCTATGGAATTTGGGATCTAAGGAATTTAGGATCTAAAGAATTTGGGGGTCTAGGGAATTTAGAATCTACAGAATTTGGGATTTAGGAAAGTTGGAATCTAGGGAATTTAGGATCTACAGAATTTGGGATCTAGGAATTTGAGAATCTAGGAATTTGAAAATTTGAAGAATTGAGGACTCAGGGACTTAGAGATTTGAAAATGTGAGGACTTAAGAACAAAATCGTGAAATTGAGACATTAAGAAATTTAGGAATCAGATAATCAAGCACTAAACTTAAAAATTTAATTTAGAACGGAGAAACGTCAAATTCAAAAATGTAAGAATATGAGAATACAAAAAAGCATCCCTCACAATCATAAATCTAAATCGAAACACCTCCACAAAAAGAAGCGCTATAATCCCCCAGAATAATTGTCGCGTTACCAGCAATGCACTTAACAGCAAGATCATAAATATCCACCGCAGCAATTTAATTCCACTCTCGAATCATAAATCGTCGACACTTGTTCTCCTTCGCTGTTCTCTTATGTATCGGGAGCTAGGGGTATCGGGATCTGGGGATATCGGGATATAGGGATATCGGGATATAGGGATATCGGGATATCGGGATATCGGGATATCGGGATATAGGGATATCGGGATCTAGGGATATTGGCATTTAGAGAAGTTGGAATCTAGGGAAGTTGGAATCTATGGAATTTGGGATCTAAGGAATTTAGGATCTAAAGAATTTGGGGGTCTAGGGAATTTAGAATCTACAGAATTTGGGATTTAGGAAAGTTGGAATCTAGGGAATTTAGGATCTACAGAATTTGGGATCTAGGAATTTGAGAATCTAGGAATTTGAAAATTTGAAGAATTGAGGACTCAGGGACTTAGAGATTTGAAAATGTGAGGACTTAAGAACAAAATCGTGAAATTGAGACATTAAGAAATTTAGGAATCAGATAATCAAGCACTAAACTTAAAAATTTAATTTAGAACGGAGAAACGTCAAATTCAAAAATGTAAGAATATGAGAATACAAAAAAGCATCCCTCACAATCATAAATCTAAATCGAAACACCTCCACAAAAAGAAGCGCTATAATCCCCCAGAATAATTGTCGCGTTACCAGCAATGCACTTAACAGCAAGATCATAAATATCCACCGCAGCAATTTAATTCCACTCTCGAATCATAAATCGTCGACACTTGTTCTCCTTCGCTGTTCTCTTATTTTTATTCAATTATCGAAGACGCCGTACTTAATCCAAGCGATACTCGAAACAAACAATAATAAAAAACGACTCGAAAAAGTAAAACGTACCGCCCATCATCGGTGCCAACGTCGAGGTGAAAAAACCAGCGTGACGGCTCACACAGTTCGAATAGTTAAATAAAAAGAATAATGACCGCGAGCTGCATAAATCGACCGAGTGTAATTCGATTTCGATGTCGACCTGTCAATAGACGATCGAACGAACCGCGTCGCGACTAGATTGCTCTTTGCAGTTGTCGATAAGCGAATTTTCTTGTTCGATGATAGGGGAACATCCTGGCGAGATTGAAGTGAAAAAATCGGCCATATAATCGGAGCGAAGAGGGAGGGAAATTCTCCCTGGTACATGGTGGACGTGAAAATCTACGAAAAAATTCCTACGTTGACGATAAAGCCTTGTTACGATAACGTCGGTGCTTATCGCTGTTTCTTAACTTTTCATTGTCACAATAATAATCGTCACGCGAAGCTATTGGTGCATGCCGCGTTGTAAATTAATTACGCTTGTTTAGGGATGGGCTGGAGGGATTTATCGACTGATACGTAATTGATAAACGCGATATTTTTTATTGCTTTATTTTTAGATTTTC